CACCACCACCATCACCACCATCATCACCACCACCACCATCACCACTATCATCACCATCAATATCACCACCACCACAACCACCACCACTATCACTACCACCATCACCACCACCATCACCACCACCACCACCACTATCATCACCATGAATACCACCAGCACCACCACCATCATCATGACCACTACTACCACCATCATTACCACCATGACCACCATCACCACCACTATCACTATCACCACAACTACCATCACCACCATCACTGCCACCACCACCACCATCACCACTATCACCACCATCAATACCACCAGCACCATAACCACCACCATCACCACCATCATCACCACCACCACCATCACCACCACCACTACCATCACCATCAATACCACCAGCACCATAACCACCACCACTATCATCACCATGAATACCACCAGCACCACCACCATCATCATGACCACTACTACCACCATCATTACCACCATGACCACCATCACCACCACCACCATCACCACAACTACCATCACCACCATCACTGCCACCACCACCACCATCACCATCAATACCACCACCACTACCACCATTATTACCATCACCACCACCACCAGCACCACTACCACCATCATCATTACCACCACCACCACCATCATTACCATCACCATCACCACCACCATCACTCAGAACTCCCCAAACTCCCCACCCGATCGCCAGGCAAGCATTAATTCCTTGATTACCAGGCTCCAAAGCCATCTGCCTCAGGCCCACGCTGTGGGGCCTGATTATGAAGCCTATTTGGGGTTCAGATTTGCCGCTGGTACCCCCCTCCTGCCACTCCGTTCCCGATACTTTCCCCATAAATTATTGACATCAGAAGCAAAAGGGCTTACAAAGGAGCTGGCTGTGGTCAGCTCAGCCCCAACGGTGCCAAGGTGGAGCCAAAGCAAAGGGGCTGAGACTGGGGGCTGCTGGCTACACTTGGCCAAGGACCTGGATCCTGCCCCAGGACCTTGGCACCCCACCCCTTGAGGTCCCCAAGGGACACTGGTTCCAGGGATGATGACAGCAAATGGGAAGTGAAGTAGGGCTTGACTGTGTCCAATTCTGGAAGGTTCCAGGTAGAGTTCTGTCTAGTCCTGAACAACTCACATCTGAACCGCCCCGACTAACGCGGCCCATGAGGTGGCTCATCTGATCTCCTTGGTGCCCCCTCTGTGTCTCCACTGGGAAATGGAGTCACTTCTCCCCACGGGCCCCACAGGCCCACAGGAAGGGGGTCTGAGATGCCCAGGTAGGTCAGCTTTGCCCTCCTGCTTGAGGCCAGCCCCTGGGCGGCCCCAGGCCTTGATGGGGGTAGGGCACTCTCGCACCTGGAAGGCAGAGAGTGCAAGCGGTGGCGAGGGCTCTGGCAGTTCAGTGCACGGTGGCTCTGCCCTCAGTCGAGGGGGCCCCACCCAGGGCCTGGGATCCGTCCAGACCTGCTGGTCAGGCCTCCTCCCAGCCCTTGATGGTGACAGTGGAGGTGACAGTGGAGGGTCTTTGAACTCCTCCCCTGACAAGCCGGCATCTTGCCCTGGAACTTTCTGTCAGCTCCCATGACTGGGGGGAGGGACCCATGCTGGAGCGGGAGGAGCAGGTGGCCCGAGGGCAGGATGGCTCACAGGTGCCCTTGGACCCGACCCCCGCCTGTCCCTCCCGACACTGAGTGGGAATCTCCAACCCCTAGAATCTTCGAACCACAGAATCTCAGGACCAGGGAATCTGAGAGTCGTGAAATCACAAATCTCCCAGGATGTTTGGGAGGACGCTTTTTTGTTTTCTTTTTTTTAAAGAAGAGAGATAACAAATGGCAAAAGATTAGAAAACGCTTCCCAAATGTGAGGACGCGGATTCCTTTCTGCTGTGTTGGAGGGTGGGTGTGGGGTGTCTGGTAGGGGTGGAAAGCGAAGGGGAGAGACTTCGGGAGGCTGCCAGGACACCTGCTCCTTCTTGAGCAAGAACCCAGAGACGTGACTTGCTACTCCAGATGTCGCCAAGCTCCCTCCGCCCTCCTCCGCCTTCTCCCGCCAACTCCCATCCCGTGCTGGGTCCCCGCTAGCCTGGGGCTCTGCTGGGACGGGGGAACCCCCCAGCTACACTCCCCCCATCTGTCCAATGAGGTGCCTGGATTCCATGTCAGCTGCGGGCGCTGTTCAAAGGAGATCTCCTGCCGAACCCCCCAGGCTAACATCAGAGGGGTTCTGGGGTGGGGGTGATTATTGAGGGCCACAGGGCCCCCCCCTCCCCTGCGGGCCTCCCAGTCCCCTCCCCCAGCCCCTCCTGCCTTCTTCCCCCCGCAGAGTCGGTCCACAGGACCCGAGATGTCAGGACACATCTTTGAATCCCAGGCCCAGATGGAAGTGCTCTGGATGCGACGGCCCCAACTTCCGCACGTGGGAGGGCCCCAACTTCCGCACATGGGAGAAGCATCAGTTCTAACACAATGGACTGGCCCGGGGCTCCCGGCCAGCCTGGAGGGTGACTCCACCTGTGTCTAGGACGGCTGGGCGGGGCCCCAGACGTGAGTGGGTGGAGGCAGCTAGGGGAGGGGGTGTATGTCTGCTCAGAGGAAGGGGCTCTTCTGAGGGTGGCCCTTGGGCCACCTGGGGCTACACAGTGCCATTCCAGGGGCCAGGGGTCCAGGCCCTGACCCAGAGAAGGTACACAATCAAGAGCAATTAGATAGCCGGGTGACGTGGCTCACGCCTGCAGTCCTAGCACGAGGCAGGAGGACTGCTTGAGGTCAGGAGTTTGAGACCAGCCTGAGCAAGAGCGAGACCCCGTCTCTACAAAAAGTAGAAAAATTAGCCAGGCTCGGTGGTACACACCTGTAGTCCCAGCTACTCGGGAGGCTGAGGCAGGAGGATCACTTGAGCCCGGGAGTTTGAGGCAGCTGTGAGCTATGATGACACCACTGCACTCCAGCCCAGGTGACAGAACAAGACTCTGTATTTAAAGATAAAAAAAAGCAATCAGATAAACGGCACTAAGTTGGGGTGGCCAGTCTCGTGTGTCTGTCCCTGGACCCGCACCCCTGGGTGGTGCAGGGAGTCCCGAGGTCAGGGTGGGTTGGGGGCGTGCCGGCGTCCCTGGGCTCTGGAGTGTCAGCTGGACTCACATCCGGGTTGGGTTGTGGGGGAGGTCTCCCTTCAGAGGGAACCGGGAACCCACGGGCATGTTTTAAACAGGGGCTCCATGTGGTCCGATGGCACTTGGAAGGTCACCCTGACTGTGAAGGGAGGTGGCCTGCAGGGTGTGCGGGGCTGCACAGGGGCCAGGAGTGGTGATGGCAGCTTGGAGCAGGGTGCGGAGGAGGACGATGGAGTCAGCAGGGCCCAAGGGGCACAGCGCTGGAAGCAGGTTTGGGAGAGGCGAGCATCGAGGATGACCCCTCCGCTGTGTCTGCTCTGGCATCTTGGCAGTGGGGTGCTCCTTACCTCGGTGGGCACCCTCGGGGAGGACCAGACTTGGGGGGTAGAATCGAAGCTGCAGATCGCACACAGTGGGCTGGGTGGGGGAGCCTTGAAACACCCCATGTGGGGAGTGAGGAGGCAGTGAGAGGTCTGGTGTGGGATATGGCACAGCTGGCCTGCAGGTACAGGTGGTGCGGCAGGTGCAGGTGGTGCCGCAGGTGCAGGTGGTGCCGCAGGTGCAGGTGGTGCGGCAGGTGCAGGTGGTGTGGCAGGTGCAGGTGGTGCTGCAGGTACAGGTGGGGCGTCATCTCCACACACCCACTGGGTCACTGAGCATGATGAATTGGTGCTGAGACCAGGGCAGGGCTGGGGGCTGAGTCTCAGGGACCTGCCACCTGAGATCCCAGGTGGCTATCCCGGGCTGGGCGGAGATGCAGTGCAGCAGGAAGCAGCCTCACCTGCCAAGAGGACATCACTGAGGCTGGCGCACAGCGTGTGAGAAACCCCGGGAGACCCCGGCACTATCCAGGAGAGTTTGAGCGTAGGCACAAGTCTGGGCGTGGGCCCAGAGTTGTGTCGATGGGGGTGGGGGGCAGTGGAATGATGGTCCCGTGGCTACAGTGACCTTGTCAGAGCTCGCAGCTGGCAGGCCTGGGCTCTCGGGGCTCAAGAGGGGCAGTGACAGCCCTTCCAGGAGGCCAGGAGTCTAAGAATTTACAATCTCTGATTGTCAGACAGTGATCTCAAGTCAAGGATGGGGACCCATCTTATTGCAAAGCCTCTGGGGGACCGTCCTTGTGCCCCTCCCCACCTTGGAGGTCTCTAGCTGACCTTCCACCCCCAACTGTGGTCCCTGACAAGGTAAGGGATCAGAGGGATGGAAGGAAAAGGGAGGACCCAGGCAGGACTTCCCGCTCTGTCCTGCAGTGCCAGGGCTTCTTGGAGCAGGGCCAGGCAGCCCGAGCGCCTTGCTAGGACTCACGTCACTCGTCAGACGTCCTCATAATATTAATAATGAAAGGGCAGCTCTCTGGGAGACCGCAGGCCGCGCTTGGCTCTGGCAGGAGCTGGGAATGCCAAGTTTTCCCGGGGAGCCTGGCAGACAGGGGAGGGGGGCGGTTCTCCGCAGCCTGCCCCGCCCCCGCCTCTGGGGGGCTGTCTGGGACATCTTTAAGGATGCTTTGTTAAGCCCCATTAAATATGCATGGCCCCCTTTAAACTTTAATGTCCCACTTTGAGGTGTCACATTTTTCACCTCCTCCCGGGAGCAGGGAGAGTTAAGCCATGGAGAGCTGATGCCTGGCACTGGGGACCCAGCCAGCCGGGGCTGGGGGCTCTGGCCGTCAGGGCTGCTGCTCTGGGCCCTGCAACGGTCGGGAGCCGGCTGCAGAGGTCTGGACTCCGCGTCTGCGTCTCTCAGTGCTTCTTACAACCCTTTACAATGCGAACGCCATTCTCAGCTCTCCGTATTAAGGAAAATATTATTCAGTGACACCTGTTAAAGCGCGGCAAGAAGACTTCAGTCGGGACGTCAGACGCACATAAGGAAGGACCACAGCTGGGGACAGAGAGGTTGGCGCAGTCCGAACACAGCACAGGCAGCAGCGGGACTCCACAGCGGGGCGCAGGGTGGGGGCAGGGGGTGTAAAATGACGAAGAGGGCACATCAGGGTGGGGGACATTCTGCCTAAAGCAACCAAGCAGGATTCTCTCTCGCTGAGGACGGGCCAGGGTGGCCAGATCACCTGGGGAAGGTGGGGGGCGAGGGGTCTGACCAGACGGGGAGGGTGAGCACATGGGCAGAGTGGGGGCTTCCGGCTAAACTGACCTAGCAGGTTCTTTGCCCAAACTGGATTTTGCAAGGATGTGCACAGAAGGTTCTAGGAGAAGGTTCAGAAGCCTGAGTACAGTGTGGCCAAGCGGGGCTTTGGGGTCCAGCAGACCTGGGCCGGGAGAGGTGCCTCTAGGATGTCCGCAGCTGTGTACCTCTGGCTTCCACTTGTTGGGAACAGGTGTCGGGTGTCAGCAGGACCACAGAGCTCTGACCCTGCCGGCCCTCCTGGCTTTGCTGCTTGTGGCAGTCACGTGGGGAACCTCGCCTCTGCGGGCATCCGTTTCGTTTTCGCTCTGCAACAGAGAAACACACACGGGGCCTCGGAACACAGTTGTGAGCGTGAAACGAGATGACTCGTGACACCTGGCAGAGCAGGCCCCGGGTCCAGGCCTTGAGCTGCCGTCTTCCCAGCGCCTTAACAATACCGTAGCCAAAACCAGTGAGCTCCCACCAGTTACAGTGGCCAGCATTTTTTTTTTTTTTTTAAAAAGGAAAATAACACGTGTTGGCAGGGATGTGGAGAAATTGGAGCCCGCGTGCATTGCCGGTGGGAACGCAAGCTAGTACTGCGCATTCCCTGGGAAAACCGGCCCGGTGGCTCCTCAAAGCGTCGGACAGAGTCTCCATTAGACTCAGCAAGCACACTCCTGGGTATCGGTCCAGGAGGAAGGAGAGCATGATCCGCCTGAACCCGTACACAAGCGCGCTCGTTTTATTGCACGTCACTTCTCGTGCTTTACAGACACTGCGTTTCCCACAAATGGAAGGTCTGTGGCAACCCTGCGTCCACGAGACCACAGGCTCCATTTTCCCAGTGACAGGTGCTCACTCTGCGTCACACCTTGGTAATTCTTGCAAACATTGCAAACAAAGTTATCCTTCTCATTGTATCTGTTGTGGGGATCTGTGATCAGTGATCTTTGAGATTAACTGTAATTGTTTTTGGGGAGCTGCAGACTGAATTGATAGGTGTGTGTGTTCTGACCACGCCACAGACTGGCCGTTCCCCCATCTCCCTCCCTCTCCTCCGGCCTCCCTAATCCTGAGCACAACAGTATTGACATTAGGCCAGTTAATAACCCCACAACGGCCTCTGGGTGTTCAAGTGAAAGGAAGAGTCATATGTCTCTCGCTTTAAATTGAAAGCTAGGAATGCTCAGGTTTAGTGAAGGAGGCACATCAAAAGCTGAGATGGGCCGAAAGCTGGACCTCTCGCTCCAAAAAGGCAGATCGTGAATGCAAAGGAAAAATTTCTGAAGGAAATTAAAAGTGCTACTCCAGCGAACACATGAATAGTAAGAAAGTGAAACAGCCTTGGTGCTGATATGGACAAAGCTGTAGCGATCTGGATAGAAGATCAAACCAGCCACAACGTTCCCCTAAGCCAAAGCCCAATCCATGCACGGCCCCAGCTCTCCTGGATTCTGTGAAGGCCACAGGAGAACAGAGAGCTGCGGAAGGAAAGTTGGAGGCCAGCAGAGGTTGGTTCATGAGGTTACAGGAAAGAAGCCGTCTCCATGCATGAGAGTGTGAGGTGAAGCGGCAAGTGCTGACGGGGAAGTGCAGCAAGTCACCCAGAAGACCTAGCTGAGATCTTTGATGAAGGTGCCTACACTGGGTAACAGATTTTCCGTATGGACAAAACAGGCTCTGTTGGAAGAAGATGCCATCTAGGACTTCCATAGCTAGAGAGGAGAAGTCAATGCCTGGACTTCAAAGCTCGCATCTTCAAAGGACAGGCTGACTCTCTTACTTGGGGTTAATGCAGCTGGTGACTTTAAGTTGAAGCCGTTGCTCACTCACCAGTCTGAAAACCCCAGGGCCTTTAAGAATGATGCTGAGTCTACTCTGCCTGTGCTCTATAAATGGAACAACAAAACTGGGTGACAGCACATCTGTTTATGGAGTGATTTACTGGACATTTTAAGCTCACTGTTGAGTCCTACTGCTCAGGAAAATAAGCTTTCCAAATACCGCTGCTCACTGACAATGCACCTAGTCTCCCAGGAGCTCTGATGGAGAAGTACAAGATTAATACTGTCTTCTTGCCTGCTAACACACATCCACTCTGAAGCCCATGGATCAAGGAGTAATTTTGGTCTTCAAGTCTTATTATTTAAGAAACACATTTTGTGAGGCTATCACTGCCGTAGATAGCGATTCTTCTGATGGATCTGGGCAAAGGAAATTGAAAACCTTCTGGGAAGGACCCACCATTCTGCATGCCACTATGTGAACATTTGTGATTCATGGGAGGAGGTCAAAATATCAACATGAACAGGAGTCTGGAAGACGTTGATTCCAACTCTCACGGATGACTTTGAGGAGCGCAAGACTTCAGTGGAGGAAGTCACTGGGGATGGCGTGGAAACTGCAAGAGAACTAGAATGATTAACAGAGGTGAGGCTCCAAGATGGCGCTGCACTGCTACAGTCTCATGATCACACGTGAACAGGTGAGCAGTTGCCTCCATGGACGAGCGAAGAAAGCGTTTGCTTGAGATGGAATCCACTCCTGGTGACGATGCTGTGAACAGTGTTGAAATGACAGCAAAGGATTTAGAATATTCCATCATCTTAGTTGATAAAGCAGCATCATGGTTTGAGAGGATTGACTTCAATTTTGAAAGAAATTCTACCGTGAGTAAAACCCTGTCAATCAAACAGTATCACATGCTACAGAGAAATCCGTCATGAAAGGAAGAGTCAGTTGATGTGGCGAACTGCACCATTGTCTTATTTTAAGAAGTCACCACGGCCACCCTAACCTTCAGCAACCACCGCCATGACCCGTCAGCGGTATTAGCATTGAGACAAGACCCTCCACCAGCAAAAGGATTACAGCTCGCTGCAGGCTGAGATGATTGTTAGCATTTTTTAGCAATAAAGTATATATATTTTTTGAGACAGAGTCTCACTCTGTTGCCCGGGCTAGAGTGCCGTGGCGTCAGCCTAGCTCACAGCAACCTCAAACTCCTGGGCTCAAGCGATCCTCCTGCCTCAGCCTCCCGAGTAGCTGGGGACATTTTGCGCCATCCCTGCACGAAAGGC